CCAGAACTGCCTTCAGTAAATTAGAAAGTTTCTCGCACGGCTTATAAGTAATTAAACGTTTAATTTCAAACTGTTTTAAAACTAAAAAAAGGAATTTTAAATTCGTTCCGTTCCATCAAGCCTAATTAAAATTGAAACTATTATTTAGATTAATAGTGGCCCGCTTTTTCGTCTTGGCGACGTTTGAAGGATTACACAGAATTGTGTAACCCCGACTTTTGACTTAGATGTCTAATTATAGTAATGCGATTGGCGATGGAGCTGTCAGGGTCAGACGCTAATTACTAGTTACAGTTACTGTTCAAACTTACCAACTTGGCATATGAGCAAGTCTACATATTCTTCTACTAGTTTCAGGGTAATTTGATTTAAGGATATTTCAAAACGGCTTTGTCTAGATACGCTGATTCAACTTTGTGCTAATATAATGTTTATTCGTGTTAAAAGCGTAGAATATTCTCTGCACGTTCGTTGTAGGAACTAACTATAAAAAAACTATACATACAGACGACAAAAAAATGCTCTTGCAGCTTACTTTGTCATTTAAACTTTGCATTGTTGTTAATTATGTGATACATTTTAGAACGCGGATAATGAAATTAAGAAAATTTGACTTTTGCAACATAAAAAGGCATAAGTTAGAATAAGGCAATGAGGCAACAAACTAATGAGCTAAATTTATCTTCAAAAGGCGCCAGCAAGTTATCAACATTTGCGCAAAAAAAATATGGTGAATGAAAGCTCATATACATGATATACATATCATTTTTACATTCATTCTTATGTGAATGTGTAATTCGATCAAAAAAATATCTGGGACCTCTAGGTTAGGTACGCTAACCAAACTTTGACATACTCGTAAATAATTTACAGATATACAACGGATGTTTGTACTAATTCACTTATGAAACCATTACCAAAATCAGAAGTGGTCTTTGTAAACATAAAAGAATGTAATGTCAATTTAAGCCAAATATAACAATTGAAGCTTTTAACAAACATGCTGGTGGGGAATTTGGCAGAATGTGTTGATATAATTTAGCACATTAATTAACTGGCTCCGTTGAGAATTATTTCCACAAAATAATCGTCCACTTAACATGTTTCTCAAACCACGTACTGTAAAATAATTTGAAGAGATAATTCCACGGTATGTGGTTCGATATACGGCACGTGGCCAGTCGCCGTGGAAAATGTGATCACTGGACTTGTGCGTCATTGTTCTGATTAGTTCGAATGACCTGGACTTTACCTGTACACCCAAAAGAAAACGACCTAAAAAAAAATATTTTGTTTTTTAATGTCATTTAGCACATTGATTATCTGATTTCGTAAGGATATTTTTAGTAAGTTGATTGGACGAGAATTTGGCTCTGCTTTTCAGTTTGAGCCGCTTGTTGTAAATTCATTGTAGGAATTGGTGTCGAATCCGTTATGTTTGTAGTTGATCAGAAATCCAAATATGAATGCACATAATAGAGGTTATTAGCAACAATAACACCCGAATGGGAGTGTATCAGAACGAGCATACCTAACAGACTGGGCTATAGGTGGTCGATAATAGAACATTCCCGATCATTGTGATATATTGACTAATAGTAATTCATATTGTAATTATCTATATCGAACAAGGGAAATCATCCATCCGCTTTAATTCCATCGTAAAATGTGTCCGGTCAGGCAATGTAACAAAGATTAACTATCAACTATCTTGATCAGGCAAGAAAGGCCTTCAAACTAAACGGTCAATCCTCTGTTTTTACACACCATAATCCACCTAATTAAAATTTAAGGATTGACGCTGTTAAAGCTCGTGAATCTTGGTGCAGTTTTATTCCGACGGATGACAGTTAGATCCATCCGGCGTGTTTGAACTTCGTAATGAAGACAGTTTTTGCGCTGTTGTATTGCATTTCTATAAACCGGGAAATCAAAGCTATATATTCATTTGTAGTCTAAATTATTGCAAATGCGTTGGAACCAAGACAGCACCGTCCGCTTGCTTTTAAAATATTTCAGTTTCGCCTTACATTAACGAAGTTGGTAACTGTTTAAACATGTTGCATTTATTATCATTACTCCGTGTTTTCGGCTGCTAGTAGTTATTGTAATAACGGCTTTTTGAATAAAAGTTAGCTCAAGTCTGCAAACGATACCGAAGAAACGTAGAGCAATTACTTACGGCCGTAATTAAGTTTACAACTTCCCAGTATTCCGATTTTTTAACTCGTTATTTATTGCACATTCTCCGTCATCGAGTGTTTATTTTGTAAAATCGTTAGAGCTTATCATGGAAAGTTTCAAAAATACTATCAGATTTGGCTGATTAAATTTTTAGTATATTTATAGGCGCGTATTTTTCTCAAACACGCTAACCAGTTTACTTAATCTGCCCTTAACAGCAAATCCGGAACTATTATGAAAGCTCTAAATAAATATTCAATGGATAACGTTATGAAATCAAACACGAAGGTTAACAGGTTGGATCGATAGAGTCGTGGTTAGAAGATTGTAAAAAACACCTTTAAACTCAAAATTTATAAAAGAAGCTTGGTTCAAGGTGAAATTTATCAAGTGTATTCTTTTATAATTTGACACTTCAATTTATGACTTATATAGCTTTTGTAAAAATGTTAATGTGATCATAAATTTTAGATAACAATAAAATATCTATTGCACGAAAACCGAGTCAAGGCCTGAAACTTTACCTACACTCTTTCGGTCACAACAATGAACCCTTCTGATTTGCGCGGCTTTCGTGAAAAAAATATCGATTGTATCGGGGTCGTAAAAATAATAATTAAAAAAAACACAAAAGTTTGAGAAAGCTTAAAGTATTTAAGAGAAGCTCAAATAGATTTGTGTACGCAAATACGCCACGTGCCGCGAGCATCGTAAGTCCAATCTGCGTAATTATTTTATAATCAGAAAACACAAGAAAAATTATACAGATCTACTTTGCATTATTCGAAAGTACTTTTTAAGCGTGATAACTGCATATTATGGATATTTGAGAAACTGGGAGCTAAGCGGTCTAGCCGTCGTGTGACCGCTCGGTTCCTATTTACTAATGCACTTGATTATGTAAACGCGTTCACAATAACCATTAGCACGCCCACATTTAAATTAGCATTTGATATAAAATTTAATTCGCCAGTTGTGTTTAAATTAAATAATAAAATGAAGGAATTTGTAAACTCCTGTCTAACACGATTTTAATTGTCAGTTTTGGAAGCACAATACCGACTCGACTGCGAGATATTTTTAAACACGTTGTGGAAACATACGTACCGACGGAGAAAACGGCCGCGTGATATAAAACAACAGGGTGTCCCAAGGGTCTGATGGTGAAAAATTTCCCTTTCGGATAACTTGTTGAAAAATGTTTTCATACATTTTAATATCAATCACCATTTAGATATACAGTGTGTTTGGCTTATTACTGACATACTAAACTTTACTGTTTAAAACTAAACACTGCGTATAGTTTATTTTTACACACATTAACTGAATTTGTGCCGCTTACTTTAAATGACTACAGTACATTGGAAGTATTAACAGGATTGTAAAATGCATTTATCGGAAAGGCGGCACAGTTGTACGACATGCTGACCGTTTTAGGGAAGAACTCAAAACGCATTGTATACCAGTATATTATTGTATAGCTTAAGTTCAGGAAGTAAAAAAGTCTACCACAATTAAATGTTGTTTTGAAAGTGAAAAATAAAATCACACCTCTGTTATTAATATATTATTTTCTGAAAACGTAATGGTGAAAATTTAAGTGCGAACCGAGCGAATATAAAAAACTTAATTTGTTACGTTTTTTTTTGCTATAATAATTCCTTCAAAGAAATTTATTATCCATTTCGCACACTCGAGGAAAATTCTTACAAAAAAGTGCCTTGCTGCCTTTTTTGTTTAAGTTACTCCGCTGCGGCTTTCAGAAAACAAAGGAAATTTTATAGTTATTGACGGTTTATTTTGTATTTGCCAGTGTGAAAATGATGAAATTTTTACAATGAAAGGCAGTTGTTGAAAGGATGTTAGGCGAGTGTGGCGCAAAAAAGAACGAAAGAAGAACAAAAATGGAATAATGGATCGCAGTTTAAAAGCACCGTTCAGTAGAAACCAATGGTGTGCCGCCGTACCAAAGTTGAAATGGTTTAGCCACAAACCGGAGCTCTAGCGAATTGACAGCTAAATTGAGGTAACTTCTGAATTAAAAGTCAACAGTTTTATAGTTTTTGCGTCGGAGGTTTTGTTAATAGATCGCTAGCTGTCTGTCGGAATGTTTTTATCAACATCATGTGAAAGGTTATCACTTTTGCGTGCGAATTTGCTTCGCTGTTTCGACAAGGAATAAATTTGTTTGAAGTTGACACTAAGGCATTGTCTTAAATTTGATTACAAATCGAAGATATTGTTAAAGGAAAATGGATGGTCACGTAACAGCGATAGCAGACGTCCGAGATCCAGTCGAAGTGGAGGTGAGAAAGAGAAAATTCGGTAAACATTCGGTGAAATGATGGGATTTTTATTTTAATATAATGGATATGAAATTCAAGTTGTGGCTAAGTTTTCTTTTTTTTCCCCCGACGTATCTATTCGATTAGACAGTCCGTCACGTGGAGGAAGAGCGCCCGAACGAGAGTTATTTAGCAATAAAATGGGCAACAATGGTCGGATTTTGCGATAAACTAGGTAAAGCATGTCGCATTTTGTCACATTTGTGTGTAAATGTGCAAAAATAGTAGTTGGAGGAAATTTGCGAGCGATAACGTTTTTACGGCTCAGTAAAACATTTTTCAAGTGAAAGGGTTATTCAGTGTATGTTCCATATCTCAGGTGGAGAAAAGATGTGTACACCCAAAAGAACATGGTAGGGCATCAAAATTCGTGCGGAGGTCGATACGAAACAAGTCGGTTAGTGTGGAAGCGAAGCGCTAGGGGGCGCACTGCAAGATACGGCGGTTCCGACGGAAGCGTCGCGACGCCAGAGCTAGTATCGCGAGATCTGTCGCCCCTTGCAGATCATTCCGACACTCCATCCCCAATTTACCTGTTACAAACACGCGGAACTTCTGCTCCGAAGAGAAGACCTTCCAATTGCCGCCAGTCGATTGACAGCACCTCCAGGCCGGAGGACTTCTTCGCCCCGGTCCTAGGGGACCCTCTGCTGGGTTTTTTTTTGCGAATTGGTGAATAATTTTCAAAATCAAACTTTGTGACTGTAATAAGGCAGGCGTGGCCTAAATTAAACTGCAACAGTGTTTACAAATTCCTGAACTGATTTTCTCGGTGGTAGTGATGGAGATGTGAATTTTTGACAGACAACTGGAAATTTCTGCAGAAATGGTAGACGTCATGGTATCATATCTTCTAACCCTCGCCGTTGTTTCTACAAACGCAGGTAAAGTGTCAGTCTTGCTGTTTCGAACATGCATGCTTTAATTAAGAGAAGTCTCCTGTTTATTGTCTTTCAGGAGCTAAGTTTTATAGGCCGTTGGGCATGTTTTAGCCTCCCAACTTCCCTACTAAAAACAGGCAAACATCTCACTGTGCCGAATTATTTCGTTTAAGTGAGCAATCCGCCAAATCGTCCGAGCGTCTTCAAAATTTTCCCAACTACTTAAAAAGCGCTCTAAGTTATTTGTGAAAAAATATTTGGTACAAATGACGATGCTTTTTAGGTGGACGCGTTAATGGTAGATTTATTCCAGTCACAGGACAAACCTGTAATCCTTTAAGTAGTTTCCAGTCCCTTTGCCGTGTTGTTGATATCATAATGGATGATTGGTTATTAACAAGTTCGCTGCACGGTTTGCAAATTGGAATTAAATCGGCCGTGCGAGAAACAGGGGTAAAGCGGCCAATACAATTTTTCGCTACTGCTAAATAAATCATTAATTATTGTAATGTGGGCGTTAGAGATTAGTTAGCGGAATGTTCGCCGGGGAGGAATTCCTCACGTCTGTCCTGGGAAAACTAATAACTATCAATTTATTACATAAAATGGAACGAGTTTAATTTTATTGGAAAATGGTAAACAATTACTTGCCTGTTGGCCGCGTCGATTTGTTATAAAGCATCGTTGGCCCAGAGTTCCGTTTATGGGACCATTTGCTTCGGTCAAAAATAAATTTGTTTTGCAACACCGCCGTTACGTTTTGTTACGACCAAAACAAACTCACGAGTCATCTCCACGTAATAGACAAAAAGTAAATATCTCCATTGAATAACCCAAACTCTCAAACATGCCACATTCATATAAGCTCAAGTGATTTTGACGTAATGTGAGCTTAATTTCACCCTGAAAACTTTACCCTTGTACATGCGGTAGGCCTCTAAAATTCAGAACTAATTTAACTCATTCATAATTACCAAGAAAATGTATGATAATGAAAATATATGGCATATTTTCCACAATACCTTGCCGACCCAAATAATGTCAACATCTAAATTATAACTTTTCGGAATTTCTCTTTACCGTTACCCGATCGGTAGATCGATTAGCGCCACCGCATATATGAACCGCAAAAACTAAATCCATCATAAATGGATACCCTTCGGCAAAGGAAACTGAGAGAGTAAAAATATTAGTGGCCACAGATTGGCCCGAGGGTCTAACGACTGACCCGTAGGTATATGCAAAAAATGAATCCCGCTTTATCGACAACGAACTCCTCCGTATTGAAAGTTTAATTTTAATAACACGAGAGCCAAGATTATCTTCCAAACAATAATTTTTAATTAAAAAATAATTTTACCAAGTTGTGAAAAAATTTGATTCATGCTCTTTTCCACTCGTTGCTGAAAAGAGAGTCACTATTTTTTATAGCCTGAATACACCTGCCTCAAATGTGATTGATTGATATTTTTGAGGGGAATTTCACAGGATCGTACACCTACAAATACCTGAAGACATTGATTCATTGCAAGTTATTTACTTAATTGATAATTTATGTCGATGCGATGTTTTCACAAAATTGGCGCTAAAACAACACAAAATTTACGATATTCTAAAACCGCCAATTTGTCAGTCAATTTAGCGCTCCCAGAAAAAAAAAAGAACAAACTTCTTTCAGTTTTTATTACAACTTATTAATATCAAACAACGTCATACACACTTGCTCGAACTTTTCAAATCAAAGAAGCCCATAAATACATCCATAAAATAGCTAAGAGTTTGAAATATATTCCCTTTTACACAAAGAAAAAAATTTAACAGCCTCAGGCAACAGAGGCGGGTCTTCCATCTTTTATTGTCGCTCTCTCTTCTAGGTCCCGGTAATAAGGTTTTTAAGTCTCCTTTGCGCAGATTATATTTGCGCACATAACGCCCGCCCACCAAAATCTCTTTGCCTTTCGAAAAAAATAATTTGATTCCTTTGTGTTCAAATCGAGGATAGGGCATGCGTAATTTCAAATATCCGCCCATGACGTCTAGGGCAAGCCCAAAATGGAGCCCCACTTAACTTCATCAAGTGACGCAAAAACACGAAGGAAAGGAAATGAAAAAACCCAGGGGTGGTTTGTGACCTCTCATGCGTGAAAAATTAAAACGCTTGATGTTTGGTCGTGAAATTGAAACGATTTTGACGATTTTATTCTCCTTTCAAAATGTGTTTTATTAGTTTAACATAAAAGAATTAGAAAGCAGTGACAACAAATACTGATATGCTAAGTCTTGGCTGCGTTGGTGACGTTTGCGCATAGGTGTGCTCAAAATGGCAGTCACCCCACCACTATGCGCTCTCCCTTTATGAAAAAATTCTCGAATCCTTTGTGTTTAAACTAAGGATTGACGCGTGAGCGTAATTGCGAATATCCCCCCTTTGCTGTTTGCTAACGTCAGTCAGCTTGCCCAAAATGGCGCCCTATCTAACTTTATTTCATTTTAAAATCAAGACCATTTTCCCATCACACACAAACCAATTTTATGCCTTGCAGCAGCTAATAAATGTCTAACAGATTTATTTCCCGGAATCACTGTCTCGAAATATTAGTGATAAAGAGTCCTTTGGTACTGAATTTCACCCGAGAATATCTACTACAATCGGGCTTGTCAAAAAAAGATAATTGAGGCGTGATTTTGGCTTCTCTTACTTAAATCATTCTTTTTTTATGTCGCATGTTGCCGTTGTTTGGTCGATCTACTGCATGCCTTCTGTGTACCTTTACATCTGTGTTAAATTTATCGTTGGTATACAGGCTGACTGCGAAATACATGCAAAAAAAAATGGGAAATAGGTCACAATATGATTATGTCACTGGCAAAAATTCACGGTCCTAAGTAGTAGCAGTGTCTAGAAAAAAATATTTGAAATTAAATGTAAATTGTTATACGCGCCGCTGGTAATGTTTCGTGACCTACATAATTACTGCAATGAATGGCTCGGTTTAAGAACTAAAAAAGTAACTTTATCAGGCACTTTTTTAATCGCAACGTGAAAAACACGAAAAGGGCCAGTGATTCTCGAGCGGTCGTTGAAATCGGTGTATGGTAGAGTTTTCCAATGCAAAGCGTGTCGATATGGTAATTTGTGTGGGCGAACATTTGCATCAGTGGTACAGCATCTCCGAGATCATGGTACCTTCAACCTCAAACTCATGATCGTGGTCGTGATGGGACAGAAAGAAGATATTGGATTTTCGCAGCTTGTAGTGCATCCTACATTAAAAGAACACGGTCACATCCATACCATGTTGACAAAGTGCATGGTTTGGAGCCCGCTGACTGTCCACGTTGTGTAACTCACTTTTTGTCCGATGGAACTGCACATACTCGTCAACAAGTACGATTTCAAGAGACGGTTTTTGATAAATGTGTATCGGTTGGATGAAACAGTTAGATTGTGGAAATCAACAGTGTCCAGAAATTATCGAAGAGCTTCAACAAGTGAAAGTGGCAGCCGCTACTCCGGTGTTTTTTTACTTATCAACAAACCTCTTGCGACGCTCTGACGCCTGTATTGCTAGTCAAGGACAACATTTTCAACATTTCTTGTAAAAAAGTAGTTGCTCTTATTTCTGTTCCAATAAACAATATAAAATCGTTGTGACAAGGACCAAACATCCGTCAGAATCAAAATTACCAAAAAACTTTCACACTGACCTTTAACGATGAATGAGTAAATGAATGAACGAATGATAAGCAGCAAAAAGTCGGTTTTACTTTTAATTGAAACTGAAAGTGTTTAGGTCGTTTTTATTCGAACGTTTTTCCAACTCTGTTTACAAGGTGGCTCAGTGCCTTCGTATCGAGGGTGGTTCATGGGGGTTTTGCCCCATTCGATTTTTAATTTGTTTTTTCTATATTTCGGCTCTACTAGGGTGGGGGATGCCGTGGTTAAAATATTTGCACATATTTCGCAGTCACCCTGTATACATTTGAACCTCCAGCAAAAACGGGCTGCCACTGCGATTTATCACTTTGGAAACATATGAATCTCGTTCACTTTTGAAAAAACTTATTTGCTTCCTTTGTGTGCAAAAGGACAAAGGCAGCTTTATTTCAAATATCCGCTTTTGTTGCTTATGACGTGTATGTCGGACAAGCCCAAAATCACGCTCCATCTAACTTAATCTCCTGCCAAAACAAGTTGCGTAAAAAACTCGAACAAAAGGAAATTAAAGATATCCAGGGGTGGTTTATGATCACTCATGTATGAAAAATTAAAATCTTCTTAACGCTTTTGCACATGGTCCAACGCTTGGTGATCAATCTGGGATACGAATTTAACAATGACGAAATCATTTTAAATAAATAGGATTGTTGTTGAGTAAATATAGATGGAATCAGAAGTTAATGGCAACGAAAATAGATCTTTTGTGTTCTTGGTCGTCATAGAATTTGCTAAGTTTGTCTACTTGGGTGTAGTCCCTTTGTCTTTCGAAAAAATACTCAATTCTTTTGTGTTGAAATTTGAAGAATTTCATGAAAATGGGTGCTGACCATAACCCAAGATGGTAGCGTATTTAACTTTGCCACATTTTAAAACAAATAACTATACCTTGTCAAACCATAGCAGCTATAATGTCTGAGAAATTATTTGCGGGGGGCAACTGAACATTAATATTGTCATGGTTATTTAAGTATTAGTTAATAGTTAAATTCAGAGGTATAAATGTAAAAAACAGGGGCTTCCAGTAAAGGATGAGATGTTATATCGTTCTTGCTCTTTTGAACTCGGTTGCGCAGATCACCTTTGCGCAGATAGAGCTCCTCCCCTAAAATATGGCTGCTAACCCAGCACTGCGGCTTATCACCATAGAAACCCCAGGGGCCTCTTCCACTTTTGAAAAAGATAATTTGATTTCTTTGAGCTCAAATTAAGGGCACAGGCATGAGTAGCTTCAAATACCGCCTTTGCTGTTTACAAAGTTGGATAAAGCCAAAATGGCCCCATA